TGTTAAATGAATACAGGACAGGAATCATTATTTAATGAAGTTGTTCAAATTAACTCTCTCGCGTCACGAACAGCCATTATAGCGGCTTTCGCTATCTATCCATCATAAATATACACACATATATATATATATATATATATATATATATATATATGATATATGTATGATTTACAGTAGATATAATAGTTATAGCAATCACTTAATAGAGTTTTCATATTTATTACAAATTGCGAGATAAAACTTATCTCCTCTTGCAGTAATCTTATCAGTTAGTAATTACCATGTTTGTCAGTTGGGAGGGATTTTTATAACAGAATTGTATTTTATCTTTGCTCTGGTATATACGAAAGCAGAACATCTGCGATACAGTATATAAGTAAAATTTCATTAAGATACAAATTTTATAAAACACGATTGTCAATAATAATCAAAGAGTCTTTATTAAAATGTGTTTAATGTCACTATTATTAATGAAATTATATGTTGAAAAAGTTAGAAATATACCTATCATTATCTATGGCCCTAAATTTATACTAAATATCTATTTAAAATGTTATCTATTATGTCTATATATAGAGTGTTCTCGAATTTTTCGTATAAATTTTAACAGTATGTTCTATGAGCTGAAATAAGAAAAACAGTGTTATATAAATATTGATTCTAAAAAGCTTTATTAAAAAATAATGGCAAAAATATGAAATCTGCAAGAAACAATTTTTCACCTAAATTTGCATTTCAAAATGTCGTTTGTATATATTAATACAAATTTAGCATTAATGTAAAATTGAATTGATCAGTGATCTCTCTCTTTCTCTCTGTCTTAAGTCCTTGAAGACTGAGGATCGTGATCTCCATTTGATGTATGCTCACGCATGCTTCATGATGAATAATCTTGGCAAATTATCAGCCTCAATTGATAAAATTACATTTACAAAAAACGGCGTTTTTCATTTAAAAATTTTGTAACAATCATATCTAGTCATATGAAAATTTATATGTTGTTTGAAGAAAGTTTTTCAACGTCAGTTCAGTTGACTGGGCAGCTATGAACTTAGGTAAAAATTGTTTTTTGTAGATTTCATACTTTTGTTATAACTTTTTTAAAACTTTTTAATAAAACATTTTATATATAGAACCTATTGTTTACATAACATTTTCTTCTATTTCAGCTCATAGAATATACTATTAAAGTTTATGCAGAAAATCCGGGGAAAATCCTCTATATAAATAGATTATATTCCTACCTTCAAAAATAGACCAATAAAAGATCAAGTTTATCAGCCTCAGAGAAAAGCAATAAACTTCTTTGAGAAAAAGCAATAAATTTCTTTGAATGTCTGGTTATTTTGAGACACACATGCACGGAACGCGTTTACAGTAACGTACAAAAGTTTAAGCTAAGAAGAAAACTCATTTATATAATTAGTTTAATTACAATAAACAAAGTAACAAAAATTTTTGTCTTGAAAAAAATTTTTAACATGAATTATTGTCTTGTTGAAAATAAAATTATCAATAAAATATATATAAATATGTATAATAAATAAATAATAAATAATATATAAATAAATCGCTTTTATCAGATATGTTTTTGTCAATTCAACGTTTTTATAAATTAGTAAAAGGGAAACAGAAATCATAATATAAATAATTGAAAAAGAAATGGGTTTTCTCTAAATAAAATAAAAAATGCGAAATTTTTCATGCAAAATAATTATATATTGGCTTTTATAAAAATAAAACTAAAATGTCAAGGAAGCATGAAAACCAGAGCAATTAAGATGTTCGCGCTTTAATGTTTATAAATAATATGTTGCAATTGACAAGATATACTGTGTTTATCATAATGATAACAAATTTTTGATCCTGATAGAGTTATCTTTAACGCAAACGATAATTAATTATATAATTTTCTCGTTCGAATTGATAAAATGTTCGTTGAAATTAAATTGTCTGACACTGCAGATTTTCACAAATTTATGTGTTTTTGGTGGATGATTCATGAAATTCAGAAAACTACCTTTATAGTTACAAATTTTAGTGTACAGCCTGCACTTACAGTCTTGTCATTATTGTCAGTTGTAAGAAGATGCACGCAGAAAATATTACAGAACAGAAATTATTTTCGCAGTTTTTTCCAATACATGTGTCTACATAAGGTTACGGACATAAATTTGCGAGAATCGGCAATATAAAACAATAGTAATTCCAACGAATATTTTATCAATTTGAACGAGAATATTATATATATTACCATTTGCGTTGAAGATAACCCTATCAAGGTTAAAACCGTTCATCGTTATGTTAAAAATAGCAGATCTTAATTGTTTACTGAAATATATAATTTATAAACATCAAAACTCATCTTGCTCTGACTTTTATGCTCCTTTGATATTTTAATTTTATCTTCATACAATAAGTTTCGTATAAAATTTATAAGAAAATAAATTAAGAAATTAATATTATGTACACACAAAATTTCTATCACACATAATCGTTTCTAAAACTTGCATATGATTTACATTGTACAAAAGCAATTCAAAAAATATTCGGATATATGTATATTATATAATAAAAATATTAAAAATACGCTCATTATTATGATAGACGTAAATTTTTAGATAATTCCGACTTTGCGTCGCAATATCTCCACTCGTAGAGCACATAGAGGAAAATTAAAAATACTTTTATGATATAATTTGAATTCAAGCTATTAATTGAGCCTTCTCAGAACTTGATTGACTGAGCCGTTATTATGAGATCCGATAATTTTGAATACTTTCAACTTGCCGGCTTGCGTATAGACACGGGACGGCCTCACGCATGCGTATTTTAGGACACACGCACTGTGTCTCTACACATGTCTGTGATATAGAGGGCAGAGCTGATAGTCATAAATTTAGATTAAATTTATCAACTTACTTACGTATCATCGGTTTTTTGTAGTAAGTCAATAAAACTAACTTGCGTTTTCTTTCGTGGCGATTTTTACAATGTTTAAGAACAAGGTGCATCGAACAACGAGTTTGAATTAAATTGTATTAAAATTGTGTGTGTTTGATTTGTTAAAAATAGTGTATAAGCATAAAAAATAAAAATAGCACAGCAGCACATTCTATAAAATATCTCCAGGACTGTTTCATCGATGCTTATCGATGAGCGAATGATTAATAATTCCTCCACTCATTTGACTCAATTTATCCAACCTACACGAAGAGAATTTTGTTTTAAATATACCCTGCAAATCATGTTAATTATGGGACAATATAGTATTTACGCAAATTTTACTGTGCACTACAATAAATTTTACTGTAAAATCTTATTTTAATGCACAGTAAAATTTACCTAAATATTGTCTCACAATTAACATGATTTGCAGGGTAAATTAAAAAAAAAATTCTCTCCGTGTACTGACTGAAAATGAAACATTACAAGTACAGCAATTTCCTACATATTTGCCGGTTCACAATTTATGCGTCTTTTGTATTATTCTTGGAATTAAAAAAAATTATAAAGAAACAGGTTTGATGATAATAAAATAGTTAAATAAAACTTGATGAGGACGCTTATGAACATTTCAAAAACATGTTTGACGAGTTTCTAGCAAAAATGATGAACTAAGCAAGGCGTTACAGCAGGACGAGTTTATTTTAAAAGAGATTAAATTTCAAATTTAATAAATTTTACAATTTTTATGCAATCACATTAATATTTTTGATCCTTTGCACGTTAATTATTGAAACTTCTGTTCGTTACTGTACAAATCGGTACTGTACAAATAAAGGATGCAAACAAGTTCTTAATGCTTCTTTTCTTTCTTATTCAGTATGGAGGGATTTGTGGTAAAGGTGGTAAAGTCACAAGCGGCATCTCGGCGTCAGTTACTCGCAATGAGGCGCGCGATCATCTTCGTTCTTGTTGCAGCAACAAGTAAGTACATAGTCCTATGAATACACTGCACACACACTCACACACACACACACATATATTATATAAATATATACGTATAAAATAAAAATATATGTGTACACACACACATGCGCGTGCGTGCACACACATGCACACATATACATATGTATATTTTAATCTCAGATCTGTCGCACCGCATTGACAGATTTTTGAAGTCATTTAAATTAAGATAAAAATTCTAATACTAAAACGTTGAAACTACAATTTCAGTTTTAGCCTGCACAGCCAGTTAATAAAATAAGTAAGAAAAGTTACAAAAAAATAAATTTAAAAGTGCACGCAAAAAAATATTTCATTGAAATAATAATAATTGCAGCTCGTTATTGTAAAAATAATTAAATTATAATAAACGAGCCAACGACGAGCAATCACTGAATGTATATCATTCTTTATTCTCTCAATATACAACAAAATCGCGATACTAGTTCACAATCTCACTAGATCTTCCATCGTCTAATTAAACTAACAACATAAACACAGCGCAATAAATCTAAATAAAATAAAAATATAAAAGATTAGTCAATATCATGTAAAATTGTATCGGAATACCAAAAATCGGAGTCATATACTGTTACAAATATTAAACAAATATTATAGATATTAGATAAATATTATATAGTAAAAAACAGTTGTAGCAATTGCATTGCTGTTACCCCGGCAATTACAATACGCGAAGAAATAAAAGATCGCGCGAAGTCGAGAAATATACACGCGTCATGTGCATACACAGAGATTCTCTGCTCAACTGATCAAGCGGAGGAAAAAAGCGTAAATAGAAAGGTGTTCAAATAATTTGTTCAAATCCAAGCCGTTGCGATGTACATCAGGCCGTTTCGTGTTAAAAATAAAAACAGCATTTTCTAGAGAACAGAACTACAGACAACAGACAACAGACTGCGAAAATGAGATAGGTCTCCTAACTGTTAACTTTCGCCGCGTGCAGGCGCAAACCTTGTTCCGGAAATATAAAAAAGGACATTTTATTGTTCAAAAAGGGACTTAGAATTATTCGCCGTCCTTGCTCCGCTTTCCTCACGCCTACCGAGACTAATGAGCCTGAGACTACAGTCATCTAATAAAGCCAAATTTCATAAGGTGATCCAGACGCGTAAAATAAATTATTAGATCATTATGTCATTAGGTCATTATGTTAAAACGATGGTACCTTCCAAACTTAGCGTGACGTTATCTTTATGCTTCATGCGAATGTGCCGAACAGAAGTGTCATCCGTTTAAAATGTTTTAATACAATGCAGTTGTTGTATGCATTATGCATCACAAAACACCGACCAGAACACATCTCAATTTAAATTATTCTAGTATTATGAAATTTTTATGTAACTGCATTGTATTGAAACATTCTAAACAAATAGGACTCCTGTTCGACACACTTGAAGCGAATAATAAAGATAATTTTTTATAATATTAAATGTTACAAATACATAGTACATTTGACTCTGATTCTTAATATGCTCATATAATTTTATATGGTATTGACTAATATCTTATATTTATATTTTATTTATATTCATTGCGCTGCACGTTTATATGTTAGATTTATAGGTGATTGAAAAAGATCTATAGTTGAGAGGTTGAAACTAGTGTCGCGATTTTGTTATATATGAGAGAATAAAGAAAGACAGATACATCCAGTGATTGCTTATCTTTAACCCATTTATCATAATTTAATTTGAAACTTAATATTTTTTATGGACACCCTTATTATGCAATGGAACTGAATGAACTTTAAACAACTCGACTGACTATTTTTAAACGCTTCCCATTTACAAACTTATTACAAAATTATAGTCTCAACATTTTAGTATTAGAATTTTCGTTTCTGACTTCAAGAAACTGCCATTAGATTTGGAACCATGTATATTTTATTTATTTAATTTTTAATTTAATTATACTTTTTTTGTTTGATTCGATATGAAATTATCCAAATGTATAATTAAATTAAAAATTAAATAAATAAAATATACATGGTTCCAAATCTAATGGCAGTTTCTTGAAGTCAGAGACGAAAATTCTAATACTAAAATGTTGATATATATATATATATATATATATATATATATATATATCAACTATATATTATGAAACATAAAGATATATTTCACGCATAAATATCGAATACCATGACTATGATGCTTTTGGAAAGAGTTTTTTAAATCCTTGACTGACGGTGACCGAGTTACTCAAAATTCGATAGATATCTAATAGCTCTCAAAAGTTACATCATTTTTATATCGCAAGAGTAAGAAAAAATCAAACTCGTAAACTGTTGTATTCTTTCTGCTATTTTATGCTACTATATTTATACGCGGAAACGACTTTTTGATTATCCAATTAATACAAGGCCAACTTCTTCCTCTTCTTTATGGGACTTACACCCAGGCGGGTATGATACGGCCCAATTTCCAAACAACACGATGGGATTCTAAGTCGTAGTGAGATGCTAGTCAATATCGCGAAGATTCTAGAAGATTCCAGAATTACTCGACCACGGTCGTCCACCTCAGCCCGTGGCTCACGATCGAATCAATAATACAAGGTCAAGAATGATCGAGCTATAATCTTCCTAAGAACATGTTTTCCGAGAATTAATCTATGTAAATTCTGAAATCGTGATATTTTCAAAATGCTCTAACATGATTTAAAAAATGTAACAGTATTTTAAAGTATACTTATAATGGCTAAATAGAATTTTACATATCCGTCAAGGTATGTTAAAAAATGCATTTTAATCCTCGCCTTTAATTTCACGCGATCTGTTAATTAAATGATAGTCAATCTCATCATATATAAAAAAAAATATTGTATTTTAAAAAATACAATAAAAAAATATGATAACGTTACAAAAAAAGAAAATAATTATTATTATGCTTAACGAGAGATAAAATAAGATATAATTCAATGTGGCAAGAGTATATTTATGTTATAATAATTTTCGATGTAATGATAACGAGAAATATTACTTCTTTCATAATATTTGCAAATTTCGTAATCTTCCACTCTCGACATAATAATAAAATCTATTTTAAAAAATAAACTCACACATGAAATTCTATATAAAATCAATTTAAAATACATAATAATAAGATACAATTATAAAAAAAGCTCGTAGATATTTAATAGAATTAAACTTAATATAATGCATTTACACTGCAAAGTACTTCTTCGATTATCTTACATCGATAAGATTTCCTTTTCGAGAGCTAAAATGATTATTCTTTAAATGAATCCTTATTTTAAATAGCTTGGAAATTGTTAAACAGTTTATATAAATATGTCTCTCTTAATATTGTGTAATATTGTACAAAAGAAAAAAACAAAAATACTTCATTCTTTTTTTATTTAATTTAATGTCAAATGAAAAAATTATCTACACATTAAGTATATATTAAGTCGAAGGTTTTTTGAATAGCTTTATTGACCGTAATTTTCTATATGTATATATGTACGTTTCAATACTTATGCTTTCTCTTTAATAATTTGCAATAATTTACTCTTGAATATACTATCACGTTCTTTATCAGTAAAGATAATTATTCAAGTCATTGAAACATATTGTTGTAACAAAGCATAACTTTATGTATTTTTATATTTTTTATTTAAGGTTCTTTTCATCTTCAGACATTTTTTATAAAAATGTAAATATCCTTACGTATAAATATATCAAAACTAAAAATACAAGTAATGCAAAAAAAAGAAGACAAGATTTTCCATTCTAGTTAAATAATAATTTTAGAATACATTGATATCTATATTAGCGTAGAGCTATCCGTTTAATTTCCTTAGAAGCTCGTCCGTTAAAAGAATGGAATGCGGAGAAATGTGGAAATGCGTAGTGTAATGGTAATGACAAAATAATTAATCAAATATACTTTTTGATGGACACTTTTTAGTTGCGCCAACTAATGGCTGCTTGAAACGCCGATCGAAAGAGAGTGGAGATGACGATGGGTATTATTGCGTTTGCAATGCGACATATTGTGATGAAATTCCGGACGCGAACAGGCCACTCAATCCCGCTGAATATGTCCTGATAACATCCAGCAAAAGTGGTGTATTCTATCACGTATCAAACAGTGTATTTGAAAATGTTTGTGAGATCGGCCAAGCGGTTTGTGATGAGATCGGTAAGTAACTAAAATTGTTTCCTTAAAACATTAAAGTTATTAAAAAACATAATCTGAGTAGATTCTAGGCAATTTAGCGTCGGCCAAACATTGTTAGACATGATTACTGCCGCAATACGAATGTTTCATAATGAAAAAACTGTAGATTCAGCCCCTGCGCTGGGAAAGATCACTATAAATCGAACGGAGGTATACCAAGAAATCTTCGGATTCGGTGGAAGTGTAACCGATTCAGCAGCTATAAATATTCATAATTTAACGCACGAGACGTCTGAGTATTTGTTGAGGTATAACGAATTACAAATCAATTTTTTTATTTCAAAAGAGTTTTTGCTGATTCAGTTTGTTTGATTGATATATTTAGGAAATTCGCAGCGACTTCCGTCAAAAGTTAATTTCACATTCAATTTCCAAATTCTAGAAGCTACTTCGGTCCACATGGTATCAATTACAATTTCATTAGAACGCCTATCGGCGGCTCGGATTTCTCAACGAGACCTTATGCCTTCACGTCGGAAGAAAACGACACTTTGCTGCACTCCTTCGATTTGGCGATGGAGGATTACGTTTACAAGGTTCAGTCATTTATTAATTAATATTTATTTATTCGTTTTATAAAACAAGTCTATTTCGTTCGAATATCGAGAAACATGTGTACAAGAAAATATTCATATCATATAAGACAAATGAAGCGACGGATATTAGAATTTTTTGTACTTGGGGCTTGGGATTCGCTGAAGAATTCTGCCTGAATTAGGCTGAAACGTACGATCGATGTATTTGGTTTAAAATTTGGATTAAATCCGAAGGATTTTTACGCATCAACAACGATGTGGACTCTTAATTATTTATTATTAGATACCTATTGTTGTTTGTTATTTGATAGTCGTAATTTATTGTTCATAATTTACAAGAAATTTGTGTTTCTATAGAGTTAAGTGAATGAATGATATATAGTCAGCAATTGTGTACGCAATATAAGATATACGCATTTTATTAAATAACTTTGTTGTCAATAGATACCGGTAATAAAGCGAGCTCAAGAATTAAGGAGAGGACAAATTAAGTTACTATCTGCACCGTGGAGCCCTCCTCTGTGGATGAAAACTAACCAGTCTTGGACGCATAATTCTAAATTACGTCCAGAATATCGACAAGTGTGGGCAGATTATATCGCAAAGTGAGATATTATTACAATATTTTTACTAAGACAAATCCCTTATTTTTTCACAATAGTTCATCAGAATATTTTTTAACAGTAATTTTTCACATTGCACGATTTATTTTCATATACGTGAAATAAACGCATAGTTACAAAAAATATCCCGAGACGTTTGAAAGTAAACGTAGTATTATAGATCATTTTACTTTTATAGATTTTTCAAGGCTTATCGTAATAATGGTATAGAATTCTGGGGTACAACGCCCCAAAATGAGCCGGAAAATTACAAGTATGTTCCGCTATCTGTTGGTCTCAACGGTATGCAATGGTCACCCGAGGAAGAACGTGACTGGATTGTCGAGCACTTGGCGCCAACTCTGCACAGAAATAATCAATTCAGGAATATCAAGATTTTTTCATTGGATGATAATAGGCTGTCACTTCCTTATTGGCCAAAAATAGTATTTCAAGACCAGAAAGCAAGAAATATTGTTGCTGGAATCACGATGCACTTTTATTACGATGATAAGATTAGCCCGAGCGTCTTGAGTGAAATAAAACGTCTCTATCCAGAAAAGTTACTGATATATACGGAAGCCTGCAACGGAGTTCTCGAAGGTTGGTAAAGACTTGTACTTTCATTTTTATATTAAATTTATTTCGATCCAGAAAGTTCTCTGCTAAAATTGGTTTATTGTTAGCTTAAACAATGACAAAATTGAGTAGGTAAAAAATTTCCCGTTTTTTAAGTATTTTTTTTATTTATAATATATTAAATTTATGTTTATAAATACGTATCTCTTCCTATAATTCTTTAAGAAATTCGCGTTTAGTCATGTTCCGTAATATCAAAACAAATAATAATAATAATAATTCCGCATGTCTGCGGATTTGTTTTTTTCATCATTTATTTCTAATCGTCAACTGTTACAGATTAAGTTAAATCTAATGATTTTTACGAGATAAATACGAGATGAGTTACGGTCTATCGGTCTATCGTACGCATACTTTTAATGGTAAATGGTTATTTACAGAAAAAAGAGTAATTCTGGGTTCATGGAAACGTGGTGAGACATACGCAAAGAATATCATCGAGAACATGTCGCACTGGGTATCTGCTTGGATCGACTGGAATATGGCTTTAAATACGGATGGTGGACCTACCTATATCGGAAATTATGTTGATTCTCCGATAATAGTTAACAGCACCGCCGACGAATTCTACAAACAACCGATGTTCTACGTTCTTGGACATTTCTCAAAGTCCGTGCTTTTATATATCGATTGACGCTTGAAACATTAGTAACGCAGCGAAATGACGTAAAGCTAACGACTGCTAACTTTGATAACTTGTAAAATAATTACATTTAATATTTACCTACGGCAGTGCATTTCTATTAATTAAGCTTGTTTTCCTTGAACAGGTATGTCCCAGCTAAAAGCGTGAGGATCGGCACAACATCGGAGAATATCGAGGGAATTCAAAATATTGCGTTTTCCACGCCTGACAAAGCCGTCGTGTTAGTGATCTTAAATCTGTAAGTTATCTTTGTACATAGCACACACACACACACACATACACACACACACACACAATATTTTGATAAGTATATAAATGTGCGAATTAGTATGTTGCACAATATCACAATTGTGATCGCGCATCTACTGGATTTTTGTTTCTTTCAGGAACGAAGAAGAAAAAGAAATTTTAGTCAATGATCCAGTAAAAGGAACAACAAAGATAAAGATCCTCGGAAAGTCCATAACGACTATGAAATACTGGTAGATATGTAGGGGAGAATATAAATCCGCTGTATAATGTAACAATAAATATATTATACTATCTAAATCTGAGTCAGTGCATAGTCACTGATTATCAATGGATTTAGTTATTCATTGAATGCATCAGTGTCAAGTATTTCACTAATCAGTTAATCAGTCAAAATTATAGTTAACATCAATAGTTTAATTATAGATTATGAGTGAAATTATAGTTGAATTATAGGTTCAATCAGTGGATCAATCAGTGGATTTAGAAAGTACACTACACGTATATGTATATAATGCAAACGCTTAAATTATTTTAGTCTTTTAAACTTCATTGTTACTGCAATATATCTCGCCAAAGTGTGTTTAGGCGAGTTTACCTTAATCTATTTTAAGCCGAAAAATAAGTAGAATCATTAAGTCGTGAAATATTGCTAAACTTTTTTGCTTTTTCTGGCGGTGTAATCCTACTGATAGTATAAATACGTAGGCTTGCCCCTTCCCTTTTAAATAAGATTTCCACTGGAATTGTAACTTCCTCGACTGCGCCTTATTTGCATCCGGTTACGCGTTGTTAGTTCGTCGATTCTCGCAATTACTCTAAACTTCTACATAACTCGGGTCACTCTCCATTAAAACTCTCACTGAGAATTCTTACCTCCCGGGCAAGAATTCGCCAGATTTGATGAGCGCCACAGAAACGGGCTTGCTCAAACGCTTTCTCAATCTCGCTGAATGTTTAAAATATCTTCCGCGTTTAATCCGCTAGACTATAGCTTTAATATCTGTAATAAGGAAACGATTTAAATTTTAAAATTTATTACGACATTAGATGAAAGTTCTAATTATTTTTGCGTGCTATCCTAAAGCTTCTTAACAAACATCATTGTATTATAATTATCTCTTTATAAACCAATACTAATGTAAATTTACTAATGTGATGTATTATAATTTTAGACGATAAGAATAACAAATTAAATGACGACAAGTTGTTTAAATAAAATATTAATGTTATTTGTGTGACTGTTATAAACAATAAACAAATAAAAAGCAACTTGGTGTATAGTCAATATTTGAGTAGATCACTAATGCTACAAATGCTTCGAAAAATTTGATTGACAGATCAGAAGAAAAACTTTTACTTTAATCGATCAATTCACCAATTGACCAAAGAACACTTCAAAGCATTTATTAAACGTCAAGTGAATAATAGCCTTTGACGTATGTGAAATGACAAAAGAAAAAAAGGATTATATGTGTTATGCATTTTATCCAAACCATTAAAATCCAAAAGTAGGTCGGAATATTTAATTGACATTCGCTTGCCTTTTCATTGTTTTCTTTCATATTGGTACAATTATATCACAAATATTTACACACTTATAATTACGGTCATGTTCTCTCTAAATGGCCCTTTTCTCTCTTATTGTCTCCGTATTATTCTTATTACGCAGCGGGATATTCTCGTCAACAACTCTTTCCCTATCCCTTTCCCGATGATTCTCGCGATTCCAAAGCCGATAACAATGCCGGCACGAAGAGAGAGATGTTTCTATCGGATGCGTCAGCGAATCTCAGAAAACGAACGTGCGTGAATTTAGGGCGGGGAACAAGCACGAGGACGGAACGCCAAATTTCTCTCTCGGGCGAGGCGACAACATAAAGCCCGCTGATTCGGGGTTGCTTATCGGGTGTACGCGAAGGACACTCGCGTCGCTTCCGCGTGCGCACATTATGTGGGTCACTGGTTCAAGGTCCGCCTGAACTGTGCCCCGGGTTATCGCGCGAGCTCGTGTGCAGGTAACACACTGCTGCAGGCACTTCCTCTTTGTGACCCATATACTCCACCACCACCATCACTTCGCCCGTATTTGCGGGTCAGATTCCAACGGGAAAACCGGGTTGTTCCCGAATTTAAAAGCCCCGTTGAAAACCGGCCAAAATTGCCTAGCCAGCCACTTACATGCATCACCTTTTAATGTTATGTACATAAAACGAGAATCGGCACACCGATGGATTTCACACGGTCCTTCACGATATACGATAAAACGAAATTGTTTCTGGATAACAAGTATCCGTACTCCGAACGCGTAATCGAAGAATCAGTTGGCTTTCTAGCTTTGGAGAGCTTTGGAAATACTTGGGAAAAGAAGATTTCCCGCTATCTCATTGGTAAATAAAGCTTGGGCAAGTTCTTTCTTGATCTCTCAACGAAATAAAGCGACCGTGATGCATTCGCGCTGTTGTGTAATGCAATCTGCCCTTGCCTTCCTCAATTCTTTATGTCCTTCGATTGCCTCTAACACAAGGGTTTGTACATATCAATACGATAGTAGTATACGTACGTTATAAAATTTTTATGATTTTCCTGAACGACAGGTCCTCCCTCTTCTCAGCCAATTTCAGAGCTTATACTAATCCAATGCTATATTATTCCAATCTAGATAAAGTAAAGCGATTCGAATGATAAAAAAATTATGCACAGACGAATATTTCTCTCTTAAAAAGTTTCGTGCCATTTACGTCACTATGCGTTATTCATTGTTATTCCGGAGAAACCGTATTAATTAGCAAAAATAAAATTCAAATATTCAAAGGACATATTCAAAGAGGAATAGATAATAGACGGACAAGCAGAGAGATAATAAAATCATTATAATTCTTTGTCGTAAAAACATATGCTCTAATACATACATGTATTTATATAGAATAAGTAAAATTCTATGAAGTGTATGTGCATTAAACATATTGACGCAATGTTCAATCTGTTTGACATAGTTGCAAAATAAATGTAAGATAAAAAAACATAGGCTAACAACAACGTAACATAAGATAAAGATAAGAGAAAAGAAGAAAAATAGGCACGAATATATTCGTCATAAAATAGTTTTAAAAAACCGGGCTAATAGGCCAAGCTGAATAACTGTGCTAATTAAATAGCATTATGTATTTTAATTATAACATTCAAATATATAGAGACAATGGAATAACAACGCAAATGTTTCAATCCTCGACTGAGGTCATCCTCAGTACAACAATGTAATCTTTTAAACTCTACTGTAAAACAATACTGTATTCGCTAATTCGTTAATATAATAAAAATTCTTGCCTCATTGTACGTCATGTATCGGATTCTTGCATATCGTATGCTTGTGTAGAATGTTATTCGTGCGTGCGTAAAACAAGTTCCAATTTTCACTATAAGAAATAAAATATTTGAAATAAAATTATAAATAAAGTATATAATAGATTGGCTTGTCTTCTTTTAGAAATATATTCTCTAAATGAAGATATATTATTGATATAATATTAATATTATAATAATCAAGACTTAATGGAGAAAAGAATATGTAGGTCAGAATATACGGATTGAAACTAATTATCGTGAATATTATATTTTAATTGTAATATCGTATCATATCGGTTTATCAACTTGAATTGGTCTATATACATATATTAACTCCGCACGATATTTCACCGAATATAAATACAAAAGTTTAATATAAATTGTAGCGAGAAGAACAGCGCTGTAGATAACAGTTGAAAAACTTTTCCTTAACAGGCGCATTGATTAAATTTCTGGACAAACTTTAGAAGAAAATCCCGCAAAGGATATTATGATAAAACAATTGCTAAAAAGTGGATGCGGGAATAATACCAAATTATGGTTAGATAAACGAGAACGCTTTTATAACAGAAGGATTTAAAAATTAAAATCTTATATAATAGAATTTGTCATTTTACACAGAAAACAAATTAAGTCTTAAATAAAGATAGATATTCTCACATATATAAGCAAAAATAATATAATAATATAATATTCTTAGAAGATTTTTAGTCTAAAATTGAGTGCAAAAAATATTTACGCCAATACAAATTTAATCAAATTAAGACATAAATATTATGTTAGATTGTTTATGCTGAATAGTGTCGTCCCTACGGTAATTCATTTTTCTTCATTAGTCATCGATTGAGTCAGAAAAGCGTTGGCAGAAAATACTCCACTATTCTTCTTGCAGTGAGCGCATGCTAAATATCGAACTTCAAATTGTATCCGAGTTTTAAATATCAGGTACTACCTTGCTCTCAATCGGCTCTTTTGAAATTTCCTCTATTTGATATTAATTTGTTGATTAAATGCTATTAATTCATGCTATTATTAACATCTAAGGATTACTTTTTCTACGCTTTGTTCAAATGATACGTGATTCTTATGTCGCGTTTGACACGTTTTCGTAAGAAATCTTCACGAAATACGACAAGCTGGAAATATTTGTTCTCGTCGCTTGCTTTTTTCGTAAACAAAACCGACGTGAATCGATTCTATCCATGTCGATAGAATCATCGTTATTTGTCACTAACGTTATACAGTTGTACTGCACGTGTTGTATACTGTACATGTGCAGACTGCGCAATTCGCTGGGAAGGTCTTTTTGATAAGAGTTACATTTTTTTTTACTTATCTAGCAATTTTGTAGTAAACACTGCGACGTGCACTACTTACTTACACAAAAGTCTTTTTTTGACAAAACAATTCTTCGACTCGACGTATTCGTTACAACTTGAAAGGTTTGCGCGAATTGCAGTGTAACAAGGGATATAATTATATAGCAGGATATAATTAAGGCTGGTCTTCTTCGAAACTAATGAATATCTAGTCCAATAATTGCCTTACAAAAGAAAGAAAGAGAGCGGACATGCCTCACAAGACGCGTGAGCGACCTGTTTTCCTGCTACAAAAGGAACTCAATTTAAACGTTGAAGCCAGACCAAATGTAAGCGTGCGCCAATTAATGGAATTCAATTCTCTCGTCACAACGCCCTCAACTAAATGCCCGACTGATTAGTTTTATGCATTCAAAGAATAATTATCAACACATTTAGTGGTGTGTGTAACAAAGAGATACGATACAAAAGAATACGTGTTTGCAGAAAGGCCGTAGAAAGCGGAAACTCAGCGCAGCTGATTCAGATCGACGATTAAATAAGCGAGGTAGATAAACATTCTATAATTTTTTTTCATTATAATTCACGCACAGCACACTGCGCCCAATTGGCATTTTCGCACGGTTTAAAGTCAACGTATATATGTATGTACATCGTCGTCGCGGCAATGCAATGACGAGTATCTTTATTGATATCAAATGGAGCAATATTATGTGTATATCATAAAATTGGGTCACAATCGATTCGCGTTAAACATTAATATCTTAATATGACAAAACGCGTAACGTTTACGTAGCGTTCTGTTACGAAATCCAGCATTACCTAAAAATAGCCAATCGCCCTCATCGTCACAGTTCCGTCTCTAACATGTTCAACAAGTGATCTCTGTATTTATTAAAAATAGTTAATTAATTAGATTCTTGGATGCATAACTTTGAGATCTTGTGATATTTCTTCTTGTACATACAAAAAATAAAAATTCTTCATCCAGAACTTTTTTCTTTTGTTTTTCCTTTTCCTTCATGTTTAATATATTGTCCAATAGTCATTTTCATCTCCATCAAATTATATTTAAAAAAAATTTTACAAAACTTGTGTTGCTGTATGCGCTTTTAATTTCACTATTTTAATATTCATAATGTTCAGTTTAAAACTCTGTATCAAAGTTTAATTAATCATTGAGCAATGCAATTAAAAAATTAATTCATTTAACACTTTATTTCTAAAATTTCGTAATAAATTTGTGTGTTAAAACTCTTGTAATAAATCTCTCTAATAATGTCTAAAAACGAGACATCGATTGTCTACTCTCCGCACGTTCGTAGACACTTTCTTTCGTCAATAAATGAAATCAGAAATGTTTATAGCAAAAGTAATGAACTAAGTTACAGCAACTCAGGTTATTTTAAAGAAGACTAAATTCTGAATGCAATATATTTTATGATTTTTATGCAGTCACATTAATCTGTATATTTTGTGACCTTTTGCCTGTGTTTCTGTTCGTTATTGTACAAATGCAAGATGTAGACAAGTTCTTAATGATTCATTTCTTTCTTATTTAATATGGAGGAATTTGGGTTAAAGTCACAAGGGGCGTCATCTCGGCGTTAGTTACTCGCAATGTGGCGCACGATCCTCATTCTTGCTGTTGCAGCGACAAGTAAGTACACACACACACACACACACACA